GGCCGAATCATATCTCGAGCACGGTCGAAGCATACCTCCCGCACTGTCGAAACACATCTCGAGCACGGTCGAAACATACCTCGAGCACGGTCGAAACATATCTCGAGCACGGCCGAAATATACCTCGAACACGGTCGAAACATATCTCGAGCACGGCCAAAATATACCTCGAGCACCGTCGAAACATACTTCGATCACGGTCGAAACGTACCTCGAGCACGGTCGAAACATAACTCGAGCACGGTCGACATTTACCTCGAGCACGGTCGGGCGCGGTTGAAACATAACTTGAGCACGGTCGAAACATACTTCGAGCACGGTCGAAACATATCTCGAGCACGGCCGAAATATACCTCGAGCACGGTCGAAACATACTTCGAGCAAGACCAAAGCGCACCTCGAGCACGGTCGAAACATATCTCGAGCACGGCCGAAATTTACCTCGAGCATGGTCGAAACGTACCTCAAGCAAGGTCGAAAATTGCCTCGAGCACGGTCGAAACATACCTTGAGCACGGTAGAAAAATATCTCGAGCACGGCCGAAATATACCTCGAGCACGGTTGAAACGTACCTCGAGCACGGTCGAAACATAACTCGAGTACGGTCGACATATACCTCCAGCACGGTCGGGCGCAGTTAAAACATACCTCGAGCACGGTCGAAACATACTTCGTGCACGTTCGAAACATATCTCGAGCACGGCCGAAATATACCTCGAGCACGGTCGAAACATACTTCGAGCACGGCTGAAGCATATCTCGAGCACGGTCGAAGCATACCTCCCGCACTGTCGAAACACATCTCGAGCACGGTCGAATTATACCTCGAGCACGGTCGAAAACTATCTCGAGCACGGCCGAAATATACATCGAGCACGGTCGAAACATATCTCGAGCACGGCCGAAATATACCTCGAGCACGGTCGAAACATACTTCGAGCAAGACCGAAGCGCACCTCGAGCACGGTCGAAACTTATCTCGAGCACGGTCGACATATACCTCGAGGACGGTCTGGTGCGGTTAAAACATACCTCGAGCACGGTCGAAACATACCTCGAGCATGGTCGAAACATAACTCGAGCACGGTCGACATATACCTCGAGCACGGTCAGGCGCGGTTAAAACATAACTCGAGCGCGGTCGAAACCTACCTCGAGCACGGTGGAAACTTGAAGTGAGCCGATTGAAAAAATATTTTTTTGTCGGATTTGTTGCACGCGAAATTATAGAGCAGATGCAAACAGCAAAGTAATAGAGTATAAATGTATTGTTAGTGTGCAGTTAGCTAGACAAGCATATTACTGATACGGGAATGAAATTCGTCCTTGCAGGATGAAAATGTATTTGCTTGCAAGAAGGTAGCTAGTCTGGAGTGCAGCCGTTCCATGCCTAAGACATTGACGCTTCAATGTCCCAGGCTTGGAAAAAATGCACTCTAGACTAGCTACCCTTTTGCATGCAAAGACGACTATTGTCAGCGTTTCAAAAAAAATGTGACAGAGTTGACGTAGCGATCAATACATTGTCTTCCTAAAATCATACAAGATTGAATCTTTTGATATCAGTCTTGGGAGTGTAGTTGTAGCAAATATCAAAAAGCAACCATTTCCATTATAAAAAACTACTGGTTCAAGGGGCAAACTGACCCGTTTTCTTAGGGTCCTCGTTGTGGTAAGGACTTGTCAGAAAATAAACTTCAGATCTAAAGTATTTCGCGTCCTCGTGATATATATACATAATTATATATTTATAGTAGGTTTGTATAATTACATTCATATTATAGGTATACGTATACAGCACCCACAACTTCAAAACCACTTATTATTGAACCAAATTTGAAATTTGAGTAATTTTTTTTCTGATAAAGAAGAGTCTAGCAAAAACATTAGTTGATTACAGCTTTTTGCAAAATAATTATAAAAAATGAAAAAAATTTTTTTTTTCAAAATTGCTCCAAGTGCTGGGGAACTCTTAAGTTAAGCTTCAAAACTAATTTCAAACTTTATTTCAGCTTAATATAGGATCTTTTTGTTGCGCAACACGATCGATTTACTCGCTCGCTTTACTCGCTTCGAGTGAGACTTTATTGCAAAAGTTTTAAGCCGCCATTTCTCTACATTTAGAGAACTCTCTGGAAACTTCAAGCTTCAATCGACTACCTCTTAAAGGGCTTCAACTTATGAGATTACTCGTCCGCTTCAGCTGACTATTTAGGTAACTAATTTTGCGTAAAAAAAAACAAATGCAAAATTCCTTTGCACTTTCAGCGGTCGAAAAAGCAACTTTGAAAACTAATGTCTTTCTTCAAAACCAGTATGGGTGTGTCTATGATTCGAGATGAAAATTTAATATAATTAGTTTAAATTATAGATTTTGTATGGATTTCGCACGTTCCACGGGAGCTTTTGTTCAATTTTCACCTACACTTACCATGGCACAGATCACGTTACAGTTCGTCCTTTTTATGGAGCTAGCAAATCTCATATTCCGGCAGTGCTAATTGACATAATACCTTTTCACAATTTGGGAACGAGGGCGCGAAAAGCATTAACTATAGCCCCTTTTCCATTTTCATTGATTATATTTAAAGCGACCACTTGAGTTTTATATACGGCTATTATGCTAACGTTTCATCGCCGTTTGATTCGGAAATTTATTGCGTGATTTTCCGGTTCGATTTACAATTGTTTTTGTTTCTAAAACCGTAGATTTCGTCTTCAAAGTCAAATTGATCAAAAAGGCTAAATCGTGATAGATTTCACAGAATTACAGATAGCATCAAGGCTTTGTTTCGCACAAATTACTTTCAAAATGATTTATTACCTTTGGTCAAATTTTTATTTGGATTTTTTTGAAAGGAATTTTGACTGCAAGTGCGATACGCGTGAAATGATTTCATTGTAGAAAAACATAAATTGTCTTCAAAATATAGTATTAAAATGAGCGTTTTTATGATCAAAGTGCAATTAAAGCAATGCTAAAATAAATGACCGAAGCAGGGCTCTTTTTTTAAAAAAAAAATAAAAGGCGGAAATTTATAAGATGGAAATCTCCGCGCCTGAGTAATGGTATCCGAAGCTTCCTTTCAGTTTCTATATATTTTCCCTAAAAAGGGAGTAAATTACTATCCAATACCCATTCAACCAATTCGCTTATTGGGCAACGTTTTACTATAAAAAAGAGAAAACTGATTGCTGATTTGTAGTGGGTAATTGTTAATCTCTTTCTATATTTGTATGGCCACAAACTGCTATTTTGCAAATATATCTGAAATAAAGGAAATAGATTTGCCCAAGTTCACTCAAATATTGACGTGCCATTTTACTACTAATTGGCTCAAGTTTGGAGCAGTTATCTATTTAGAAACCTGTTTGTATTCTTTGTTTCCTGATTTATGGTTCAATTTCAGTTATCTTTGCCCAAAATACCTGATAACCATCTTGTTTTCCCTTTTATTATATAGCGCTTTGCTTCTTCAATTTTAACTCTCCTCTGTGCGAGACAGTTTGAATAGCTTACATTTTTGAACTTAACCCATTTCACATTTATTTATTGGGGAGGTCTTAGTAAATAAATATTTCTCTCCAAGTTTGTTTAGCATAGTTTGAGAATAAACCCAGAAAGTAAAAGTTTCCGGGGTGAACTCGCTAAGAAAATCGGGGCCGGGTTGTTCACGTAGCGATAAATTCTTCTGCTTCAAAATAAGTGGCGAAGTTATGCCCAGCGGGTGATTTTCACAATTGAGGAACTTTGTGTTTCTGATCATAACAATTTATGAGTTTGAGGCGCTAATCAAAATAATCTGGGCTGCGGTCGAGCATCAAAACGAAGGCCCCCTTTTGATATTGAATATTATTGTTACTTCTTCGCAGAAGTCTTTCAGACAGACTATTTTACTGTCAGCAAATTATATTTACCTAAATTGTGCTGTTAAATTTCCCAAAACAAATTATTTACCCTGTTGAACCAATAGTGTTTTCACATTCGCTAGTGTTTTTGTTTCCAAACTACACCAAAGTTTTAATTACTACAAAAAGAGTTTTTTGAAGAAACCTGGAAGTTTATCTCAAATTCATTGAACTTTTTTTCAGGCTTCAAATTCTTCATAATATACCCAGCAAATAATTCTTGATGTTATACTTTTAATTAATTAATTTATTGTTTGTTTTGAATGATTACAGGATAAACGCAGAAAAGATTTTTGTTCTTTTTACTTTGTTCAAATTGCCAATTTTTCTAAAATTTACTTTGGCTTGTTATTAAACGGAGCTTTGTGTGTTTTCTTCTTGCCCTTATTTTGATCGACAATTTTTTTGGTTCGATTCTTATTCAAACAAAAGTGTTTTTTAAGTGTCACCAAGCTTCAATGTGGCTGATTGCAAGTGGTTATTACTTATTACTTATTACCAATACCACTCAGCTTACCACGGTAATACCCGTTCCATTCAAGTTCAAATCTATTGATCAAGACATTCCATAGCTAATGCTTAACAGTTGCTGATTAGTTCACGTTGCTTGAATAACATTTCACGCCAATTTTTACCAACTTACAAAAAAGGTAAAACCGGCCTAGCTGGTCTATCAGAAAGCCAGCGACTGGTCTTTTTTTCTGAGTTTTTTTCAGCTCTCCCAGATTGATAATAATTTTTGCATCACCAGTGGTAATATTCAGTGAAAAAAACAATCTATTGACTTAACAAAGCGATGAAAAGTTTTTAATTGGTACGCAAGAAAAAATTCTGTTGCAGACTTAAATTTTTAGCTTCCTCGTTTGAGCTATTTTTGTCAAAACAGTCTGTCAATCTTTTTCGGAAGACGAAAAAAAAACATTTGGTCCGACTGTTTTGTTCAAAAATTCTTTGCCATAACTTTTTTTCTGTAAATAAATTTTGATTGACATTCTCGAGTTTGATTTATATTCAAACTATTTTTTAGTTATTCTCTGAAAACTGGAATTAAAAAAGTTGCTTTGTCTGAATATTTGAGAGAAAGCAATAAGTCTCAATCGAAAAAGAGAAAAACAACTTCCTTCTTTGTTTACTAACTGTCATTATTTATCACCCAACTCCCTTTAGAGCTAAATGTTTGCTGCGTTTTTCACAAATCAGAAGAAATCTTGCAAAATCAGAAGAAGAGCTTTTAAAAGATACAGTATTCCATATTCCCCAATGATTTATGTTAACAGATAAAGCCCGTTTCTGATAAATTAAAATAATCTCCAATCTGTTTAAATTTCACTTCTGTCTGCCTCGCTAAAACCAAAAAGAGCAGAGTGACTTTGTTTTAAAATTCAATCGTGAACAAAAGCAATGGACCCAAAAAACAACGCAAATTACCTTTTTATTAAATCCATGGCTGATCGAGTTACCTGGAAATAATTATAACTATTTTATCTAACTAAAGTTACCATCGTCACAACAGAAGACTAAATATGGGCATAATTTCAATTTTTGCATCAAAACTGGCTCTGTCAATTATTCTGGTGGCAGTTTGTTGCGGAGAGGTCAAAGGTCAAAGGATGTCACAGTCCGATGTGATAATAAGACGACCCCACATGACGGTGGACAGAGGAAGCGAGACTGTCCTCCAGTATTCATCTCTCACCATCTGGTAAGGGAAAACAATTTGATTGGAAAGCAACACATCCATCCCCTCCCCCCTCCTTCTCCCCCTCCCCACCCGGCCTCAGAGGGTAGAATAATGCATCGACCGTATGGGTCGAACGCTTATCGACCCAATTATAAAGATTTAAAACATTAATGTCATATAAAGTCAATACCTGAGTCTGCCAGGGTCAATAAATGAGTCGAGAAGTCGAACTACAAGTCGAAACAAAAAAAATCGATTCGGTCAAAACATAAAATTGAACCAAAAATATTTCCCAGGAATTTGACTTTTTGCTTACAAAACTGTAAAAACAATTACAAATAGCAAAATAAGCCAGTATATGTGTAGTTTGAATGCAAAGCTAGCTAGATCAACATAATATCTGATCATATACAAGACCGCCGCAAGAAATCTTAGTTATGGTCCCAACGTCAACTGTACGCTTTTTTGGGGACAACAACAATCTGAACCACACAAAAATGATGAGAAGCCATCAAACCAGTCTTAAGCAAACTAAGTTAAAAAACAGTCCTACAAACAGAACAACAATATGACAAACTGTTATCACTTACATCTAGCTAAGATAATTTAAAAAATAATTTTGGATTTGAGATAAAAGATAATTTTGGATTTGAAAAGTTTGGTTTCACTCTCCTGAATTGGCGTTAAAAAAACACCAACAACAGATTTTTCCAATTCCGACTAAAAGTACGAAAAACGTTGCCAATTAGAGACAAAAAAATACTTCTACAGTTTTCCTATTGAAAATTATCTCGCACATAAGGATCTCGTTCTAACAAGTTTTTGGCCCTTATTTTGACTTGAACTTAAAACGAAAATCCCTCTTCGTTTATTGATAGCTTTAGCATGAATCGTCTGTTTCAACAATCATAAAAACATAGTTTTCATATTGCGGGTAGTTGGTTCTTTTTTGGTGGTTAAGAAAGCTTAAAAAACAAATTGGTCATCCAAATCAAAAAAAATCACCCGGAGGTTTGAAAAGGTTTGAAGCTCCGTTCAACCCTTTCAGCCTTGAGTCGATTATCAAGCAAACCCGATTGATAAAACAAACTTGAAAAAAATGTATGAAATGGCATGATACGTTTTTTTCCATCTCGTGAAAAAAATGTATGAAATGGCATGATACGTTTTTTTCCATACTATGGACTTGTTTACAAAAATTGCTTGCGAACTACTGTGGAATTTGATTTTGAAGCGCTTTTCTATATAAAAACTGTGGTTAAGTTTTTTGGGTAATCCCCAGGGTGCAGATTCGCCATTTAGTTTGAAAAAACTTTGCAAAAAGCTTGAGAATAGAGGAATTGCATAGAAGAATAGTTTGTTAATAGATTTTTGACCTGCGTTTAAAAAGGTTAGGTTGTGTTTTTTTACGGATTTTGGGTTAACTTACCATTATAGAAGAAACGCTTAAGCTTCTAAGAGTAATCTTCGAAGTGATTTGTTTAAAGGAAAAATTGAACCTGGACTGCTGGAATTCGGTCAATTTTTTTAGCA